CACACAGACATACTACTCAAACTTCAGAAAACCACTGCTCCCTCAAACAATATTTGTGTGGATGATATTTGTTTCTCTGGAAGATCTTTTACGAAAAACTGACAGATATGCATAAAGGGTTGAAAAGACTGGAAAAGCCATGACATCACACAGAAAGTACAGAGATCTTAATTAGCATCTTCTCTTTGGTCACCATGTCAGTAAATACTTCATTATTTGGCAAGAAACTAATTAATTGCCTAATGACACACCAATCTCTCTTTCATAAGTCAACATTAATTATAATCTGTAATTCTTTGTGTATGATAGGACAAAGTAATTATTAGTGTGGCTTTCCCAACCATGGTATTACACAGAATCTAAAATTTGGAGAATTTAACCCCTCAGTTACAAATAAGAAAATACAACCATATTTTTAAGTGGAACTAAAATTCACAATGTTTTCATTTTTGCTTTTAAGTACTTGAATAGTTTTATACTTAGATATTTTCCTTTCCTAAACATTAGGGAATTTTTAATGTTATTTTTATTTTAAAAAATTTCAGAAATAACACAGAATACTATACACCCAAACTAAAATTGACAGTTGTTAATATTTTATAACGTTTATTTCCTCTAATTTAGAATTTGCTATAATTTTAAAGTAAATTGTAGACAACATGACAGCTCACTCCTAAATATTGCTATATTCATCTCTGAATTTTAAAGTGAAATTTTCTTGAAATAGCTAGTCAATTCCAACTGTCATTCCAGGTTTTACAATTTTAAGGTGAGTCAATTTACACATAACTAGAGATTTTCATTGAAAATCTTAACCATATTTAACTTAACTTAACCATATTTAACTCTATTTGTATGGAGAAGACTCTCAATGAAAGTTGTTTTATTTATTTTAATATTTACTCATTTACATATTTCAGATGTCTTTAGAATCACATGAGTTTACATTTCATTTATTTATTCTATTGTTTGTCAATCAGATGATGAGTGACACACTCATACTTACCACTGCCCATACTAGTCCCCCTGTCTTGTTGCTTCTTCCTCTACACATTTAATATCTATGCCTTTAATTTTAAGATGAAATGATTATCCTTCCAGGAAGGAAGGTCCCTCCCTGGTTCATTAAGATGCTCTTCAAGGGTCCCATGGTTTGAATCTCTCTGTCACTGAAATCACACACCATCCTAAAGATGTCAAGCTCCCTTTCAAACAAATCAACCACATTTGGCAAGGATGGAATTTCATTTGTTTTTCAATGTTTAGTACAGAAGCAACACTTTGTGGGCACCTAAAAACATGAAGATACTGAAGATGTTAGACTGGTAATCTCCAAAAAATCTTCCAGCTCAAAATTTCTTGAGACTTCATAAAAAATATTTCATTCAGACTTCTAAGACAAAGATCCTTCCAAATTGCTTCATGATGATTCTGCTTCTTGTTAGATGCACATGTCTGAGACAGCAAGGTCATTGTTCTTTCTTTCTTTCTTTCTTTGTTTATTTATTTATTTATTTATTTATTTATTTATTTCAAAGGTACAATGAGAGAGAGATTATCTTCCATTGCTGGTTTACTCCCCAAATGCCCATAACAGTCAAGGCTAGGCCAGAGCAAACCTAGGAGCCAGGAATATCATCTAGGCCTCCAATGTAAGTGGCAGAAACCAAAGTAATTGAGTCATCACCTGCTGCTTCTCAGGTGTTTTAGCAGGAATCTGGATCAGAAGCAGAGTAGTCTGAACTCAAAGCAGCACTCCAGATATGGGATGCAGGAATCTCAGTAGGGGGCTCACCCACTGTGTCACAGTACCCACCCTTGTTATTGTATTATCAATATAACTGTCATTTCCACAGCTTCTTTCTCTATTCCACTTGGAACTTCATTTCTCTGTAAATCATACCCTAAACACCTGTATCAACAGCTCTACACCTGGTCCATGGGTATTAGTGATCCCTTCCCCCCATCTAACATGTTATGACTACCCAGAGTTCCTTTTACAGGCAAATCCTTCCACCTGCAAGAACGAGCAAGCTTTCTCCCAGTCTTGGTTGGTGTAAGCTTTGCAGCTTCCTTCTCTGCAGTGCTGGCCTCAGGAGCTGTCCTAGGCCACAATGTTATGTGTATTAACCAGTTCCAAGAGCAACTCCAGCAACTATGAGAGATCATCAGGTCCACTGAAACTTCAGCAGACACCATTTGGGGCCTCCAAAATCAGATCACCTCACTGGCAGATGTAGTGCTACAAAATAGACAAGCTCTGGACCTTAGAACAGCTGAAAAAGGGGGAACTTGTGTTTTTCTGGGAGAACAGTGTTTTTATTATGTTAATTAATTGGGCCAGGTAAAGCAAAATGTTAAAAAGCTCCAACGAACTGTCACATCTATGAAGCAGTCTGCCCTTGGATCCATAGAGTCTCTCCTCTCTTCCTCCCTATGGAGGCCCCTCACCACTTGGTTAATGCCACTCCTAGGACCATTGGCTGCTATTCTCACCCTGGCTTTTATACTACCTTGTCTGTTTAAGTGTTTACAGAGGGTGATAATGGAATGAACCAAAGCCTTCACCAACCATGCAGTCAACCAAATGCTACTACAGGAATATACTCAGCTCCCCACCCAGAAGATAAAAACTTGAGATGTCACACCACACCAGCAGAAAGTGATTCATCACCCCATGTCAGCAGGAAGCAGCTAAAGAAGATAGACCATTGCCCCTCCACTCCTCCTAGGCTTTTGTGGCCGATGAAATCCCATGCAACACTTGCTTTATGAAAAACAAAAGGGAGCCGGCGCCGTGGCTCAATAGGCTAATCCTCCACCTTGCGGCGCCGGCACACCGGGTTCTAGTCCCGGTTGCCCCTCTTCCAGGCCAGCTCTCTGCTATGGCCAGGGAGTGCAGTGGAGGATGGCCCAGGTGCTTGGGCCCTGCACCCCATGGGAAACCAGGAAAAGCACCTGGATCCTGGCTCCTGCCAAAGGATCAGCGCGGTGCGCCGGCTGCAGCGGCGGCCATTGGAGGGTGAACCAACGGCAAAGGAAGACCTTTCTCTCTCTGTCTCTCTCTCTCACTGTCCACTCTGCCTGTCAAAAATAAAAAAAAAAAAAAAAAAAAAAAAAAAAAAAAAAAGAAAAACAAAAGGAGGAATGTTAGTGAAATGGTGCCATCTTATCTAAAAGTGTCATCTCAAGCCCTGAATGCCATCTTGGCCTCTTTAAGACCCAACCTGGCTTACTAGGAGTCAGGTGGCCAATTGGCCCAACTGTAAGCAACAATCCCACCCCCACTCTGGGATTCACTGTTCCCATTCCCTAACCCCCACATTTCTACAACAATTGTTTTCTGACCCAGCTGCCTTTTCCGCCTTCTCCCTCCAGCCTGTCAAGTTTCCCCTGTCAATAGACCCTTTCCCTCACTCCAATGTGTTCTGTAGTGGTCTTTCACTATTCTTAAAGAAATAACTTTAAATTACATATATTTTAATATTTAAAGCAAGAGGATCCTAGAAGAGATGCTTCATATTCATAAAAGGTTTAATTCACCAAAAATATGACATTTCAAAACTGTATATATAATTAATAATTTCTTTTCAAAATAGATAAAGCAAAAAATGAATTTTCCAATGGAAAGTTGAAAAATTCACCATCATGATGGGAGAATTTTTTTAGAGTTTATTTAAGGTATAAAAATTTCACATGTTCACAGATTCAGGAACATGGTGATACTTTCTATCCCACCCTCGTTCTCACCTGTAAGAGACTTTAAGATATATATATCAGGAAAGAATAGTTTAAGCACATAAAAAATCATTATGAGTACACTGTGTATGAACCACAAAACTAGTAAGTCTAATCTAGTTGGCATTATAAAACACTGTCCTCATATATCCCTTGGAAGACCAAATGAATATTTATCAAAATTGACTATAATATAAGCCATTTTTGATATTTTAAAACTATGAGTATCATGTGGGTCACATTCTCTGATCATAATCAACTGATACATCAATCACAATATTTTTAATATTTGGAGAATACCATGAAGCATATATCAAACTGCATATTTTATTTCAGGGATATAGATTTTAAAACAATATCTGCTGCATTTAGCTTATTGAGAATGTAGGGAGCTCAGTAAATGCTAACCCACTTCCATTTGAATTTGGAAATAATTGAGAAATCATATAAAGAGTCAGGCTGATAGGGATAAAATTATCATTTCATTAACAAAAAGGTTTTTTGGAGAACATGACTTAGTGTGTATACTTAATTGCTCCTCTGAATTGGACTTACTACCTACAGCTGCAGGCAATATTCACAGAGCCCACCCTTCCTAGGACTAACCAGTATGCATGCTCTCTACAAGCAGACGGATCCCAAAGAGTGGCCTGAGGACAAGGCTGATGTGTACATGCCCAGTTGCTATTCCCAAACTCATTGGAGAGTCAATTCTTCCATTGCAAAGGCAAATCAAGGCGGTAAAGAGATGAAAAAGGCATTTTGTGATTTGATTATTGTTCATAACATCTGTGTATATTCCTGTGGAATAGTGGTCTTTCTACTTGTTACTTGTAGAATTCCTTATTTAGAGGAGCATTAAGTCTGTGATTATAAAGTGAATTGAAAGTATGTTATGAAAAAAAAAGAAAAGGAAGGAAGGAAGGAAGGAAGGAAGGAAGGAAGGAAGGAAAGAAGGAAGGAAGGAAGGAAGGAAGGAAGGAAGGAAGGAAGGAAGGAAGGAATGAATAAGGGAGGAAATTAAGTATCATTATATTCTTAGAATCATAACTATGAAATATATGAACTCTGTTCTCTCTATATTAGTAAATAACAATGTGAAATTTAAAAAGAGATGAAAAGAGTGTTATTCTGAGACACATCCTTCTTCAAGGAAACATGGACTGACAGATAAGGATGTCCCTAAGAGGAGGAAAGAGTGCTATCTCTGGGAGGATTGAACAAGGGACACAAAGGGAACACAATTTTCTTAGCTTCTTTACCTCCCTCCTGGGTCTGAGCTGTGATGTTGAGCTCGCACTGTACTTTGGCTTTCAGCATAAGCACGATCTGCTCCTCGATAGTAATGGTGCCAAAGGAATCCAGCTGCAGAAATGAACAAAGCACATACACCCCCATCATCATGTTTTAAAGTCATGATAAAAGCATTCATCATTTCACCTTCTAATATAACTTAAAACAAACTTTGATATTAGACTGTCTGGAACAGTTCTTTATATGAGTCAAAATTCCATTTCCATCAATGTATAAGATTTTAGAATAAACATTCTTTCACTAGATCAGTGTAAAGAAAAAAGTTCCATGCCAGAATTGTGAATAAATTTTTAATATAATTACTTAAGATAACTATAAAAAATAAACTTTGAAAAGTCTCTGGAAAGTTATGAAGACCCAATATTTTATTAATTCTCTAAAAATAAGTCAGTTAAAGCACATAGAGAAATGGACTGAAAGACTAAATTTGACTCTACCAAAAACTACCAGTTAAACCTAGAAAAAAATTATTCAATATCTTTGAGCTTTGGTTTCTTCTTCTATGAGATACATGAGTTATTTCAGAGTCTAGTTATCTCTATGCCTAAGTACTGAGACTCAACAACAATAAGATATGCACCAATATATCCATTATCCATTCCATCATTAGTTAAATGGTTTATATGAAAAACAAAGTACTTGACATCATAGTAAGGAGCTTTCATTTTCAATATTTTTTTTTTGACAGGCAGAGTGGACAGTGAGAGAGAGAGACAGAGAGAAAGGTCTCCCTTTGCCGTTGGTTCACCCTCCAATGGCCGCCACGGTTGGCGCGCTGCGGCCGGTGCACCGCGCTGATCCGATGGCAGGAGCCAGGAGCCAGGTACTTCTCCTGGTCTCCCATGGGGTGCAGGGCCCAACCACTTGGGCCATCCTCCACTGCACTCCCTGGCCACAGCAGAGGGCTGGCCTGGAAGAGAGGCAACCGGGACAGAATCCGGCGCCCCGACCGGGACTAGAACCCGGTGTGCCGGCGCCGCTAGGCGGAGGATTAGCCTAGTGAGCCGCGGCGCCGGCTCATTTTCAATATTTTGTGTAGTACATTTTCTTCAAGTTAACAAAAATCTCAGGAGGAAACTCATATCAGAAAGTATCAGAACTACTATGGATGCAGTCCAGGGATGGTAACTGAAGAAACCACACTGTCACAGTAATTTGAACTTTCCTTTATACAGGAACCTGCCCTGAAAATCAAAGGTTTCTCAAAGTATTCTCAGAAAGCCACTATTATACAAAGTTGTATGGTAGCATTCAATAAGACCTCAACATATACATGCTTCTTTGTATTGGACATCTTTCACTAGTGATCTCAATACTCATTCCCACCCTGAATCATGCTCTGACATATGGCAAAGGAATAATAAATACTTGAGTGAAGACATCCAGATCTAGTGTTTTTGTTTTTTTTAATAATTTACAACTGGAGAAGATGGCCCAAGTCCTTGGGCCCCTGCACCCACGTGGGAGACCTAGAAGAAGCTCCTGGCTTCTGGCTTCAAATCTGCACAGCTCCAGCCATTACTGCCAATTGGGGAGTGAACCATTGGATGAAAGACCTCTCTCTCTCTCTCTCTCTCTCTCCCTCTCTCTCTCTTCTTTCTTTCTCTCTGCCTCTCCTCGCTGTGTAACTCTTTCAAATAAATAAATAAATCTTTAAAAAAAGAAAGAAAACAGCTCTCTCTAAAAAATAAATAAATAATTTACTACTGGTAGTTTTTTTAAGATTTATTTATTTATTTGAAAAGTGGAATTACAGAGAGGGAGAGGTAGAGGCAGAGAGAGGGAGAGATCTTCTACCTGCTGGTTCACTCCCTAAATGGCCTTAATGGCCAGAGCTGGGCCAGTCCAAAACCAGGAATTTCATACAGCTCCCCTATGTGGGTCCAAAGGCCCAAGCACTTGGGTCATCCTCTGCTGCTCCCAGGCACATTAGCAGGGAGCTGGATTGGAAGCAGGGAGCATTGCCAGAACTCAAATGGGTGCCCATATGAGATTCCAGCACTGCAGATGTTGGCTTACCCCACTATACCAGAGAACCGGCCCCTAGGTTGAATTTTAATACTTGTAATGGAAAAGAAATTCTTCAATTGGAAAAACTTATTTAATGATTTATTTATTTATTTGAAAAGCAGAGTTACAGAGAGAGAAGGAGAAATGGAGAGAGAAAGAACTCTTCCATGCACTGATTCACTCCCCAAATGACTACAATGGGAAGCCAGTGGCCAGGAGCTGCAACCAGGTCTTCCACATCAGTGCAGGGCCCAAGCACTTGGAGCATCTTCTGCTGCTTTCCCAAGCACATTAGCAGGGAGCTGAATCAGAAGTGGAACATGCGGACTCAAGCTGACACTCACATGGAACTGGAAGCTTATCTCACCTTGCCACAATGTCATTCCCTATGGGAAAATTTTAATTGCAATGGAATAAATTTTAAACATGATAAATTATTCACAAGTATTTGTTCAAAGTATGGTACATGTACTACCTGGATCAATGACTGTGTAAAATGTAGATTCTTGGACTGCACACAAGATATGGCAAATCAGAATTTATATACAAAAGTGAAGAGTGGTAATCATCATGGGAACCCCAGGTGATTCATGATTTCACTTTAATAGGTTTAAGAATCAACGTATTTTAAGATATAAGATAATACTTGTCAAGGTTCAATCAGAGAAGCAGAACTACTAGAAAATGTTATAGATTGTAGAGAGAGAGATAAAGATAGAGATCAGAGTAGAATCAAGCAATTTTTTTTAGGTATTTGATAGTAGACAATCATGGGAGATGATTAAACATTCTCTGGAAAGTACTTTTTTTTTTTGCTGATTATGGAGCTAGAAATGCACAGGTCAGACAGGTAAAAAAAAGAACATTACTGGAAAGAGAGGAAAACTAAGAAGCAGCCAGAGCCTTCAGAATGAGCTAAAAACCAAGGATGCACTGGGATCTGTATTAGGTATTGGTGCCTACCACCTTGATAATGTGGGTATGCACCAGGAGAAGCTGACACCTTTCATCATGGACCTAAACATGCACTTGCCCAGAAATCAGGGGCACTAAAGGACCCAGGGAAAGGTGGATCAGGTACAAACCTGGATGCTACACCACACCAGGAAGATGAGCCTGTGGATAAGTAACACTATGTGTGAGACACAAAAGTGCCTGCCTTGACCTTCTGAGTATAAACACCAAAATGGGTGTTGCATCATCTCTGTCCTCCACCACTCATTTTAAACACATCTCTTGTGGCTGACCCTCACCAAAAACATAGAGGGAAATTTTGTGAAACATAGTTTAACCTAGTCAAGTCAACATATTACAAAGCCACCCAAACCGATTTCTATCAATTAGGCACCAATATACATCTCTTTAAGCCATAGTTAACTTCCAAAACGTCCAATGATGAAGCCACACTTCCATCCAGCCTGATACAATTCATTCAGTACCAAGAGTGATTCAGAGGAAGAGAATTGTAAAGAGGGAAAATCTGTATTTCCCATATATAGCTGTGTAGCAAATTATGCCTTAAAAAACCAACATTACGTTTCTCATAGATTGGAGATGCTGAGCTGGGTAGGTCTAGGTCAGGACCTCTGCTGACTACAGTCAAGACTTTGGATGCCGTCACTTGAATATTTTCTGGGACTAAGCATCCATTTCCAAGTTGATCTCACGTTTGGTTACTGGCAAGGGGGCTTCAGGCCCAAAGTGACTGTCAGGAGGAAACTTCACTTCCTCACCTCACGGTTCTCTCCATGTGAGTTCTTGGGTGTCTTTATTCCATGGCAACTGACTTCCCACAGACCGAGTGATTCCAAAGAGAAGGCAAGAAAGAAGCCACAGGCCTTTAATGTCAGTTCCACCATATTCTATTTAAGAGTCATCAATTTTCCACTCAAGGGGAGAAGCATTCATCTCCACCTCTTAGAGGAAGTTATCAAAAATGTTGTAAATGTATTTTTGAACAACCACAGTTTCCTAAAGGTGGTAATCTACTTTCTAGAAAAATAATTCTAAGTTTTGTGCCTCCTATAGATTTATTAAAAATAATAGGACCCAAGCCGGCGCCGTGGCTCAGTAGGCTAATCCTCCACCTTGCGGCCGGCACACCGGGTTCTAGTCCCGGTTGGGGCGCCGGATTCTGTCCCGGTTGCCCCTCTTCCAGGCCAGCTCTCTGCTATGGCCAGGGAGTGCAGTGGAGGATGGCCCAGGTGCTTGGGCCCTGCACCCCATGGGAGACCAGGAAAAGCACCTGGCTCCTGGCTCCTGCCAGGATCAGCGCGGTGCGCCGGCTGCAGCGGCGGCCATTGGAGGGTGAACCAACGGCAAAAGGAAGACCTTTCTCTCTCTGTCTCTCTCTCTCACTGTCCACTCTGCCTGTCAAAAAAAAAAAAAAAAAATAGGACCCAGAGCTTTACATTTTGGTTTACTGCTAGATTCTTAGAAATTCTTAAAACAAATAAGATGATAAAACCAATCAATTTACCTAAGTGACAAACTCCCAATAATATAAAACCTTTGAAAATCCAAACCTTTAATTTCAGGATACAAACACACTTATTATCTACAGCTATTATCTTTAAAAAATGATAAATGAGCCTTTTTATATGGTGCAATAGTATAGACTGAGCATTAGAAATAAAGATGTTTACATCATTGGCCTTAGTAAGAAGCTTAAACTGAAATCTAAAACAGCTACTTTATTATCAAAACATTATCAGAGGGCTGGCGCCGCGGCTCACTAGGCTAATCCTCCGCCTTGCGGCGCCGGCACACCGGGGTTCTAGTCCTGGTCGGGACGCTGGATTCTGTCCCGGTTGCCCCTCTTCCAGGCCAGCTCTCTGCTGTGGCCAGGGAGTGCAGTGGAGGATGGCCCAGGTGCTTGGGCCCTGCACCCCATGGGAGACCAGGAGAAGCACCTGGCTCCTGGCTCCTGCCATCAGATCCGCGCAGTGCGCCGGCCGCAGCACGCTGGCCGCGGCGGCCATTGGAGGGTGAACCAACGGCAAAGGAACACCTTTCTCTCTGTCTCTCTCTCTCACTGTCCACTCTGCCTGTCAAAAAAAAAATTATCAGAGAGAAGAATCAAAGGTTCCCAACATATAGAAATGATCAATGTTGGGGC